GGAAGGTCTCTGGAACCATAGGCCCCTAGAACCCCATGGCCTCTGATACCCCAAGGCCTCTGGAACCCAAAGGCCCCTGGAATCTCACAGCCTCTGGAACTCCAAGGCCTCTGGAACCACAAGGCCCCTGGAACCCCAAGGCCTCTGGAACCTGAAGGCCCCTGGAACCCCACAGCCCCTAGAACCCCATGGTCTCTGGAACCTCACAGTCCTGGAACCCCAAGGCCCCTGGAACTGGAGCCTTGAAATACACTTCCCCCTCTAAGGCTCTTCTTGACGGGTCTTTAATCACAGCAGTAAGAAACCGAAGGCTGGACCTGCAGAGCCCAGTGAGGGACACTCCCGAGGTTGGGCCCTGTGCGTCCTGGATGAGGCCCTGCCCTGATAGAGGGCCACAGTGACATCTCTGGTCTCTGATGTCAGTGTCAGCTGGGAGCCAGTGTCCAGCAGTCCCCAGAAGGTCGGATTTTTTCCGTGTCACTAGTACATAGTCACCTTGGTAGGAGCCCACATGTCCCTTTGGGGAAGGCTGGGAGAAAGACCGGCAATATAAACTTCCCCTAGTGACCGGGGCTCTGGCTCCAGGGACCTGGCCTCCTTCTTTCAAGGGCTCCTGAGTCTGTGACTGGCTCAAGCTGGGGAACTGGTGAAGGACCCATGCTCCACTTTAGGGCCCCAGTTAAGACTTCCGCCCCCTTAACCTGGAACTCTGCTTACAGAGCCACCCGTCACTTGGCGGTGGGGACAGCCTGAGAAATGTGTTGGTAGGGCATATTCAGTCATTGTGCCTAGAGTGCCCTTACATACTCAGATGGCACAGCACCGCTAGGTGACAGTCTGATGGGACCACTGTCACATGTGTGCCCTGTTGATGACCCTGCCGTCCTTCTGCAGCACATGGCCACCCAGACCACCCAAGCCTGCCTGTCTGTCCTAGGAACACCCTGAGTCCCGCCCACACCATTATTCTGGGTGTAGGAATGGCTGCTTTGCCACTGCCATCCATGACGGTGACCGTCCCGTCTCGCCTTTGGCTGGGAAGGGCCACCACTAGGCCCCTGCTACCTGGATTCGCCCAGCCCCACTGGGCGTAGGTCTCCCATGTGGGGGCAGCTCCTGTGCGGGTGCTGCTGCAGAGCAGGGCCACCCCACAGCCAGGCTGCAGACAGCGCCCCCCAGCGGACACCACCATCTGGGCCCCAGCAGCCAGCAGGCCTCTCAGACCCAGCCCCGGACCGTGCAAGGTGGCCCCGCACTGTCACCTCGTGCCCTTCACCCAGCCCATGATCACGGACACACCTGCACACAGGGTCACACAGAGAGGCTGTGATGCACACATGGAAAGTGGCCCCCAAGGACACAGACACCCATGGCTCAGAGACAATCCCATCCCCTCACAGGTGATCCTGAGCTCTGTAGGCACAGACGCCAACTCAGAGAGACACAAGCTGTGCCCAGGCACATGTGACAGATAGCCACGACAGTGTCCCGTCTCCCTTCCACACCCCACATTCAGTGAGGGGCAGCTGCAGACATTCCTGTGGCTGCAGCTCCAGTGACCCCTCCGCGCCGCTGCATGCCGCCCAGCTGACGCAGCGACCTCTGACCTGGGCCTGCCATCTCCTTCCTACCCAGGATTGGGCCCAGGGCACCCCTGGGACTGGGGACTCTTTAGACCATTCCCACCCACTGCGTCCTGCAGGAAGTGGGAGGTATTTTTAGTTACAATTAACCTCCACCCAATCTCCCACCTCCTTAATGGCACATCCGATTGGATTAATTGGAGAGGATTAAGTGGGAGCCACCTCCAGTCACCAGGAGAAGGAGGGAGGTGCCCCTCCCAGCTCGCCTGTGTCCCAGTCTCCCCTCTGCCAGCCAGGGGACCCTTCTCCGTGCCAGGCGAGGGCTGTGCGGGTGCAACTTTCTCTCTTGCAGCAGACCTCTCCCCCATAACCCTTCCACCTCCTGCCCTCAAAGGTAGGAGTGTTGGAAGTTCTTCCTGCTGTCTATCTATCCCTCATCCATCCCACTGTGGTCCTGGGGAGCTTGGGGAGAAGTAAACAGTTATCACAGTCACAAAAACAATATCGAACCCACAAAACAGTTCCGGTTAGAGTTAGAAAGTCACAACCTCTTAATCGGGGCCTGGCGGCGCACACCTGTAATCCTGGAGAGTCAGAAGGCCGAGGCAGGAGGATGGCAAATCCAAGGCCAGCCTGGGCAACTCAGTGAGACCCTATCTCAAAATAAGATCCACAGGGCTGGGACGTGGCTCAGTGTCAGCGTGCCCCGGGTTCAACCCCAGTCCCTGAGTACCAGGGTTTCAGAGATTCTGTTTTAAACGCCATCCTGTAATCAGAGAGCCTGGAGCACAAGCCGCAGGCAGGGTCGGTCTCTTGGGTCCCAGCGGGCTCTCCACACCCCAGCTGTGTGACCCTGGGCCACCAACCTCACCCCTCTAGGCTTCAGAGTCCTTGCCTGGGAGTGGGAATCTGGCGGCACCCCTCCTGGGGCTGCCCTAGGGTTTAGCAGGCTGGTAGGGTCAGAGCTCCTGCAGCCCAGCACTTGTGACAAAGGGTCAATGAATTCACAGAGTGACAGCCCACAAGCCCATCTGTACCCTGTTCTGCTTTTTATGACACATTTGTAACCTTCCAAGAGACTAAATGAGGTACAGCAGGTTCTCCACCCATGGATTCCGCCAATGACAATGGAAAATAATGGAAAAATTGTAATGGCGCTTGTACTGAGCATGTGGACATTCTTCTTGTCGTTTCCCCCTAGACAATGCAGCGTTACAACTACCTGCCCGGCACCGCCCGGCTTCGGAAAGTATGAGGCACTCGAGGTGATTTAAAGTACCGGGCGAATGTGCCAGGTGCAATTGGGAGGCTGAGGCAGGCAGGAGGATCGCAAGTTGGAAGCCAGCCTTTAGCAAGGTCCTGGGTGACTCATCAAGACCCTGTCTCTAAATAAAAAACAGAAAGGGGCTGGGGATGTGGCTCAGTGGTTCAGCGCCTCTGGGTTCCATCCCTGGTACCAAAACAAAACAAAACAACTGTTTGGGAGAATGTGCTGGAGTCTTATCAAATCCTACCCCACTGGACATAGGAACTTGAACACCCAGGAGCTTGGTTCCCTGAGGGGTCTGGAACCAGTCCCCTGCAGACTGAGGGCTACTTTTTTTTTTTTTTGGTTCATTGTCAATCAGCTCCTGGGGGCAGGGTTTTGCCCAAAATATGTGGACTTTTGTCCACTGGTGTTGCAGGGAGGGGACAGACAGGGACTAGACCTCAGGAGACGCTTTGTGCAAGAATAGTGAATGGCCAGAAGACCTTCTGAGCGGATGAGTGGCTGCACAGTGTCTCAGGACTCTAGAAAGTGGGTCTCCCAGGCAGGTGGAGCTGGGTCCCAGCCTCAGGGCCCCTGTGTGAGCCCCGGGGCTTCTACGGTGCAGCTTCTTGAAGGACAGCCGTGTCAATGGTGCTTCCATGCCTGTGAGCAGGTGAGGTTGCAGCTTGTGAGAGGCACAGCAAGGATCTGGCCCTGTCCCCGTCCTGCTGCACACACTGGATGTTTCCAGGGTTGGCTGTGCATGATCGCATTACGAACTTTGCCTGGGTCACACTGGTGAGGCCACATGCTTAGCCATGTGTGTCAGCCCCCGTCAACATCCTGTGAGTAGCCCTCTTGGGTGCAAGCATGAGTGTGTGAGAGATCCAAAGACAGAGCTGAGGAAGAGACAGAGGCCCTGAGTGGCCCAAGTGAGGTGAGGCAGGCAGGAGGGAGACAGCTCACCTGAGACTCCGAGATGAGGGTGGATGGGGATGGGGACGCAAAGACTGGAAAAGATGGAGCAGAGGGAGATGGAGGGAAATAGACTCCACACTGAGCCTGGCCGGTGTCTCGTTGAGCAGGTAGAGGATTGGTGAGCTCAGAGCCCAGTGGATGGTCAGCCCAACCTCTGAGCCTCGGAGTCGAACCCAGGACCTCGCACCTGCTAGGCAAGCACCGTGCACTGAGCCCCAACCCCAGCACCAACCCCTGCCTTGGACCCAGTCTTACCCCTTGCCAGGCCCAGCCTGCGCAGTTTCTCTGCAACGTCTTCATTAATCCGCACGACAATCCTGTGAGGCAGACAGTCTGCAGATGCGGAGATGGAGGCCCACAGGGGCGAAGCCGCTTGCTCCAGATCCATAGCAAATGCATCGCAGGGGGAGGATCGGCACCCACGTCCACGCACAGGTGGGCACCCTTCTCAAGCCCCAGGCAAGGACAGGCTGCCTGGGGCCCCCATCAGGACGAGTCCATGAGCCCCCATGGGAAAGGCTGATGCAAAAGTGGCCACAATTCTTTATCCCTCCCGTGTCCACATCTCGGGTTGTGAATTTGCGGCACCCTGTCACCCACAAGAGGTGAGTCCGTTTCTCTTCCCTGGGTTCTGGGTGGGTGGCCTTGAAATTTTAAAGTGGCCAAGAGGATGCAGTTTGCAGAACATACTAATCATGGGGCCCCTTGGAGCCCGGCCACACCTCTGTGGGAACAAACCAGACAGCCTCCTGCTTGACGAGAGCCGTGGTCCCTCACTCCTGCCGCCCCTGTGGCCAGCCAGCCCCCAGGAGTGGAGCCCCGACTGGTCCCTACTGACAGAAGATGAGCACGTGGGCCCAGGAAGCCACCAGGACTTCTGTGTCTAGTGTAATCCACCAACATGGATGGGCACAAGTTCCAGGCAGTTTGTCACCTGGCAGTAGCTAACGGAGGTACGTTAGGCGCCCCCACAGAGAGCAGGATAAAGACCGCCTGTGATCGCATCATCAGGATTCTGGAACCTCAGAGTTCTGAGGTTTGGAATCTCGAAGAGACACAAGGATTCGAATTGGTGGCTTTGTTTTTAAGACTTTATCTTTAAAAAAAAAAAAAAGGTAGAAGACATCAGAGAAGGGGGAGGGGGGATGGGGTGGGAGGGTGAAGGAATCGCTCCCAAATGTCGGATCCGGGTGACCCCCTTCCCCGATGGCCCCAGCCCACTCCCAGTCCCTTCTCTGTCCTGGAGGTGGGCCCTGGCCACCATCTTCTGCAGACCATGCACAGGCTCTCAGGTCCCAGGCAAAGGTGAAGGCAGAAGCAGGTGCAGGGCCTGGAGGTCTTGTCTGTGTCCTTGAGAGACCCTCAAGTGGACGCTCAGGTCCCCCATGTCCCGGTGGGGCCCCAGGGAGGTAGGCATTAAGTGGAGGGGCCTTTGGAGCTGGAGTCCTGAAGCAGAGGGCCTGGCAGGGACCAAGTGGGCACAGGCTGTGGTCGCGTCTGGAAGCTGGAGTCTGTGGGAGGTGAGGAAAGGCCACTCAGGAGGCGGGGAGGGCTGGGTCACATCCGTCCCTCTGTGCACAGCCCTGAAGTGAGGCAGGGAGGTGCAGGGAGAGGGACTGAGGGACAAGGGTGAGGAGGGGACCCCAGAGCAGGGGTGGCGGGAGATGGAGGGGAGGTGTGGGAACAGAGGGGACGGGCAGAGGCAGCTGAGGAGAGGCGGGGAAGGACACCCAGAGAGAGTGGGACAGGGGAGGGACGTAGAGGGACTGGGGCGAGTGTAGGGTGCCTCCCAGGGACAGAGAGGACAAGGGCGAGGAAAGCGGCTGGGGGAGCTGGGGACGCAGGACGAGGACCCCCATCACCAAGCTGCCACTCAGGCCAGGCCACCCCTGCCCACACCTGGCCATGCAGAGCTGAGCCCATCAGCCCACCAGGCCTGGGCAAACCCACCCACCTCTCCTTCCCTGCTCAGGCCCCAGGCCCCCATGGTCCTTACCCACCTGCCTGTGCCCCACCCGAGCCCTCCCTCCCTGCTTGTGTGGGGCAGGTGCCATCTCAGCGCCCAGAGACCTCTGGGGCTCTGGGACTTCACATACGGGGTTCCCTCTGCTGGACCCTCCACCCCTCGGGTCAGCAAGAGTCGTCTCCTCCAGGGAGCCCTCCGTGAATGCTCTGGTCTGGGTCAAACGCCCCCCCCCCAACCCTACCTCCTGGGACTGATGGCCCCTCCTGGCTCCTCCCACTCCTAGGGCTCCACGTCAAGGGCCCCATCCTGGGTCATCGCCCTCTGGGGTGGGCCTTCTCCCCACTGGACTATGTGCCCTGGAGGGCAGGGCTGCGTTTTCATGGCCACTGTTGTGTCCCTTGCACCTCCCAGCACAGGGCTGGGCACAGAGGGGCACAGGGCATGTGTACTGGATGGACGGATGGATACTAAAGAGTTCCGACTGTCCAGTGACCCCTGAGAGTCACAGAAGGTTTTAACCGGGAGAGTCGGGGTGGTTTGGAAGGCCACTCGGAAGCCCTCTACACCCTGGGCCTTTGCACAGACTGTTCTGCGTTTCTGTGGCGGGTGGCAGGTGAGTGGATGGACAATTGGTGAGACAGTGGGCGGGTCTTGTGGCGGCCACTGGGTGGCTGGGTAGGTGGTGGACGGTGGAGTGGGTGTGTGAGGGCACGGTTAGCGGGATGGAGAGTGGGCAGGGAGTGGGAGCGGGGTGGAGGGTGGTGAGTGGATGAGTGACGGATGATGGATGGCGGGGTGAGTGGCTGGGTGGATGGGGGCAGGTGTTGGCTGAGGAATCATCTTTCCACCGAGCCCTGGAGGAGCCTCAGTTCAGGGACCCAGGCAGACCCTGCCGTGGAGGGATGGACCCACTGCTGGAGCCGGGAGTTCTCATGAAGGTTTGAGAGCTGTGCACCCCAGAAATAGGTCACTCACCTCCTGAACTCCGCCTCTAGAGGTAATGCCACTCTCCTTCCAAGTTCAGACTCATGCCCACTGAGCCTGGAAGGGGAAAGGGGAAAGTTCGTGGGTCTTCCCACCCCCGATGCCCCTGTGTGCCTCCCACCCTTCCTTCACCCCTGGCTGCTCTACCAGGACAGACTGAGTCATGTTTTAAGAGGGTGCTGGCCCTTTAAGAAAAAGTGACTCCTTTCCCTGTGACGGGCTGAGCCTGGAGAAGGTGGGACCAGGACATCTGCACTGGCATCTGCTGCTCCCCTCTGCAAACAAGAAGGAGTGGGGTCCGGGTGGGGTGGGCCTTACCGGGCGGCCTGACAGTCAGATGCGGCTGAGTCTCAGCGTAGCCTGCCACGGGCTGGCCCTCGGGGCTGAAGACGGCGCCTGGCCCTAGGAAGGGGTGGGGTGAGGGGGAGCCAAGGGGGTTCCCTCCTTAACGTGCTCAGAGCCGCGTCCCCCCGCCCCGTACCTGTGCGGTTGGATTGGTCGATCATGGGTTGCACGATGCGTCTCCGGGCGTTAATGAACCTGGAGCCGGTCACGGGACCCAAGGGCGTCAGGAGGGGGCAGGCGGGGGCGGACGGGGCGGGGAGAGGGGACAGCAGGTGCAGGGGCTGCGGCCCAGGCCTCCTTCAGCACCGCGGACAGTGCCGGCCTCCCACCCGCTGCCCGGCGACCTGGCGCCACTCACCAGTTGTTGACCTGCAGGATGGTGAGCCCCGTGTCCTGTGCCAGCTGTTTCTTCTGCTCCTCTGAGGGGTACGGGTGCTGCAGCCACGGGGGCAAGAGTCACTCTGCCTGCCCAGGCGCCCCCTGGCCCCCAGTGCCTGGCCTGGCCCGCAGGGTCAAGGGATGGTGGCACAAGTTGGACAGGAGAGCCACCCGGGAAGGCGAAGCCCAGCGATCACCCACAGCCGGGCCCTTTCCAGCAACTCGAGGCTGGTTGGCCAACTTGCTTTAGGGGGCTCCACCACAAGGTGGGCTCTGTGGGGCGGGGCTGGCCCTGCTCCCCCTCTCCGCCAGGGTCCCAGCAGGCGCCTCTCCCTACCCCTGTTCCCACCCCACATGGCCCTGGCCTGGGACTCCCTGCATCTTGACTCAGTCCCCTGCCTCTGAGTTGCTATTTCTCTGTCTCTGTCCCTCTGTCCCTCAGTCCCTCTCCGACTATTTTTCTGCCTGTCTCCATGAGCGTGCGGGGTGGGTGGTGAAGGCCAGACCACCTGCGTTTGAAACCACTTCCGGCTGTGCGACCTGGAGCAAGCCCTAACCCTCTGGGTCTCAGTCTCCTCAACTGAACAGCCCAGGGCTGTGTCTGATGGACGGGGGTGACTGAGGGATGGTGATGGGCTGTCGCACACACCTGAGAACTGCTCCTGTCCTCCCCATCTCCGTGAGTCCCCTCCGTGTCCCCCTCCCCTGTTGAGTCTCATCTCCAGGTTCCTCCAGGGGGCTTGGTCACTGGCATCGTTCTCCAGGCCCACCCTGCACCTGGGCAGCAGGGCTCTCACCGAGAGGTGCTGGAACAACCAGGCTCGCATGATGTTGGTCGCCACCTTGGGGAAGATCCCTCGCTTCTTATTCCGCCGCCGCTCCTGGTCCAGCTCCTCGTCCTCTCCCCCAGAGCTGGGAGAGGCCACGCTTGTGTCCAGCCCATCTCCTGAGGGGACACAGGCAGGCCGCACTGGTGAAGAGTGATGAGCAGGGGACCGAGGACCCCAGAACCTCGCCCTAGACACCAGACCTCAGCTCTCTGTGCCCCTCTGGAAGTCTTCCTTGCGGTCTAGTCAATCCTTGGACCAACCCCCATGCTTCTTCTTGACCTCCCAAGTTCCTCACCTTGGTCGCTGGAGTTGTCCCCACTGTGAGAGGCCAAGCCCCCGCTGGATGGACCCGGAGTCCCCAAATGGGCAGACCCACTGTCCTCATGGTCTCTGATCCATGTGTTATTCTAGAAAACAGGAGTTGGGTGTCAATGCCAAGACTCGGGGCACCGAAAAGCACAGGGAGCACAGGCTCCGGAGCTGGGGAAGCTTCTTGAGGGGAAGCTTGTTTCTGCCTCTTCCCTTTCCTGGCTGTGTGATCTTGGGCAAGTCACTTCACCTCTCTGTGCCTCAGTTTCCTCTACTGGGAAATGGGGGACAGTAACAGTTCTCACTTCAGTGTGTGTTCGGTGAGCTAATCTATGTAAAGGCACACAGCAATCACCCGGGAAAGATGAGCTGACACAGGTCTACAGCACCATATCTGGAATCCTTGGGACAAGGAGCAATTCAGTTCAGAACTCCTCACACTTCAAACAGGAAATCAGCGCATTCAGGCCGTATTTCCTTAATCGCCCCCAGCAGGGTCTGGGGCATAACCTCATCATCAAACTCATTAACATTTCTGTAGCAAAACGGATGGATATTTAACTAAGTGGAATAAATAAAGGCTATAAATAGCCTCCCATTAGTTCAGGTCAGATTTTTGCTGCCAAATGAGTTGGCGCTGGACTTATGGGGCAGGGGAGCCCAAATCGGAGATTTCAGATATTTTAAGGTCTTAAAATTGCAGATCAGGGATTTGGGGATTGTGTTTTATTTTTTCTTCCTCCCTCACCCCCAGCAGTAGGGACTGAATCCAGGGCCTTCCATACGCTAGGCGTGAGCTCTAGCACGGAACATTTTTTTTGAGCCAGGGTCTTCCTAAGTTGTTGAGGCTGGCCTCCTATGATCCTCCTGCCTCAGGGGTTATAGGTGTGAGTCACTGTGTCTGCCCCGTAACCAACACCCCACGTCTGGGGTGTGGTGGTGTGGAGTGCCCTCCCGCTGTGTTTAGGCCGCTGTGGTTGCTGGGTGACACCCGGCACCGCGTTCTGGGCCTACCTGGTCTGGGAGGCTGGGGCAGGAGGCTGGATAGTCCTCGAGGTCCTCCCTGCAGCCGACGTCCCGATCCTCGATGACCAGATCGATGGGCATCTTTCCCTTGAGGCAGGTGATGTAGCGGTGACAGAAGTTGTCGCACAGGTCGTGGACCTGGGGGGGCACCGGGGTACTGGGGGCGCCACCCGGGGGCCAGGACTGGGGTGCACAGGGGTGGGGACATCTTGTGCTTCAACTCCAGTGGGGCAGAGACTGCTGGGGGCAAGTGAGGGCGTGGCAGGTGGGAAGCACTCACCTTCTCCAGCTCCAGCAGGTGGAACCGGAGCACCTGAATGGCCTGGATCATCTGAAGGCGGGGTGGGGGACAAAGACAGAAAGAGTGACAGAGGATGATCAAGACAGTGTCAGAGCAAGAGGAAGGCAGTGGGAAGAAGAGCGTGGGGCAGAGATGGAGACCCCTGGAGTTGGGTGGAGAGGACACTGAAGCAGGGGCACCAGGCGGGCATGCCCATCCCCTGCCCTTTGCCCTTGACTTTCCCACCTTTTGGGGCAAACCACATTTCCCAGAGTCCTTTGCCAAAGGGTTTGGCCAGTAGAAAGCCCTGGCTGGAGCTCAGGGCGTTTCTCTCTTCTCCCCCTTCTCTCTCTCTCTCCCTCCCTCCTCTCCTCTCTCCCCAGGACATGAGGCCCAGAGACCTGGCACCACTTGCCCTGGCTCACAGAGCTGGGCTCCGAACTCAGGCCACCAGTCTGTTCTCAAACTCTAGGCTCTGGACTGTTGCAAACGGGCGACACTGATCATGGTTTGAGAACAGCAGCCAGTGGTCACTTCTCTGCACCCCCAACCAAGCCAAGGGATATGGAGGGCAGGATAGGAGAGCCCCGTGGAGGGGGCCCCGGGAGGGCTCACCAGGTTGTCCAGCTCTGGGTTGGAGGAGAAGAGAGGTCTCTCGGAGTGGATCTTGGAGGGAAAAGAGAGGCTGTAAGGGACAGCGGTCCCACCCTGCTGGCCCTCTGGGTGCTCCCTGGCTGGGGCTGCCCACCTGTTTGGCGAAGGCCGCAATGTCCTCGTTGAAGGAGTCAGAAGAGCAGACGTCGCTGCTGGGGGGTGTGCCCAGCCCAGCGCTGGCCCCATCTCTGGGTGAGCAGGTGGCCAGCTCACATTTCTCAAAGACCAAGGCCAGCAGTGGGAAGAGCGGGTGTCTGAGGGAGGCAGGAGGGCGGAGCTCATGAGGGGGGTGTGGAGCCACTAGACAGGGACAGGAACCCACACAGTGACCCGCAGAGAGACGCCAGCGTGAGACAGAGACGAGCCCGGAGCCCCCCACTCACCCGTAGATCTCATCCTTCTCCCTCTTCAGGCCGTCGCTGTCCAAGCCTGGGGCCGGGGGCTGGGGAGGCCGGTGGGGGCCGTAGGGCCCAGAGCCCCGGGGTGCAGAGGGCACTGTCTCAGAGAAGCCTGCCAGGGCTGCTGTCCCGTCCACGATGCCTGGGTAGTGGGGTAGCTCATCGTACTGGGGGGAGTTGAGAGAGAGCCCCAGGAGTTGTCAGAGACCCCAAGACTCAGCTACCTGCCAGACAGCCTCCCTACCCTAGGACCCAGGAGGTGTGCCCTCTGTCCCCAGGTGTCCCCTGCTCGCTTAACACCCCCCCCCCCAATGTCCTATGGACCTGTCTGTGGAACTGAGAGCCGGGCCTCCCCTTGTGCCCTGGACTGTAAAAAATGTCCCATCAGGGGTCCTGGTGTGTGGGCAAGAGGACCTGGAGGAAGAGCTGGAGCAGTTGGGTGGGGGTCCCAGGTGGTCTGGCAGGTGACTGCCAAGGGAAGGAAGAGGGCAGGGAGGTTCAGAGACACAGAGAGAGCAGGAGGAGAGAGGGGGAGAAAGAATGCAGGAAGGGGAGGGTGGGGACAGGAGAGGCCCTGGTGGGGACACCTCCCATAGAACCAGGGCACTGTGTGTACACAAGCAGGTAGACACGCTCAGCCTTCTGCCACTTCCATTTCGTTTCAGTTGTCAAATGTGCATGTCTGAATGTGTTAACCACTTGTCACAGCCCACCCCATCACGTGACACACACACAGCCATGCACACCAACCCACGTGCACTCTGGTGTGTCAGTCACACCCAAACGACCTCCCCCCAGATACACTTTAGTGCATATCCCTATAACCTGCAGGCTTTGAGTGCCATCCCCCCAAATACCCAAGAGGCCCCTACAAACGCACAGAGAGGCACAGGAACCAGGCCCAGGAATGAATAAATGGGTGACACATGAAGGAGGCAGCTCAGGACAGCCCCAGCCTCCCACCAACACACACTGCAAACAGCCCCAAAGAGAGTCCCGAGCATTCAGGGCACACTTCTGAGTTGGGTCATCAAGGAACCAAGCGGCCTGGGAAGTGGAGGGATCTTTCTATCACAGGGTCAAGCCCTGTCCTTGGCGATGAAGACACTGAGGCTCCAAGATGCAAAAGGACAGGCAAGGGCGGAGCACAGGAGTGTTCCTATCCGGCTCCGCCTCCCACCCTGGACACACTTAGTGGCCCAGGCTCTGCGTCTGTCTCATCCCTGACGCTCTTTGACTTCCTCTTCAAACTTCTCCAGAGCCCTGAAGTTGGATCCAACTGCTCCTGCTGTTCATCACCCTCTATGAAGCGGGTCCTCACCTCCTGCCATGTTCCTGTCCCCACCCTCCCAAGCCGGTGCTCAGCTCCTCTCCTGTCTCCTTCTATCTCGCAAAAAGACAATCGCTTGTCCAGCAGCCTGGAGAGCCCGAGCTCTCCCAGCACGGTCCCCAGCACGGTCCCCACCCCTAGCCTGGGAGTAGAGGGCTCCAACAAAAGTAGATCGGAGTCGGGGAGAGGAGAGGGGAGAGCAGAAAAGGAAGAGGACGGGGCGCGGGGTAGGGATAAAGGGCCCGAGATAGAGAGGACCCAGAAGCAGAAAGAGGGACGCCGAGGGCCAGGGGGAGGGTGAGACGCTGTGGCAAAGGAGGGGGGCAGAGGGGCACTGAGAAGGAAAGACACAGGGGCAGAGGGTGAGGGGAGGAGCCGGTGGAGAGGGCGAGGTGGGCCCAGAACCGGAGCCCCGGAGACGGGGGCTGCAGAGCTGGGGACGCGAAGAGCGGCTGGGGCGCAGGGGTCCCCGCCCCCGTTCCTACCCTCCGGGCCATGGGCTGATGCCGGCGGCCGCTCCAGGGTCCTTCCAGAGCCTGGCGGGTGGGGAGGGCGCAGCCCCGGGGCGGCGGGAGGTGGGTGCCGGGCCCCCCACCCGCCGCCGTCAGCGGCAGGCGCCGGGAGGGGCGGCGGCGCGGAGCATGGACCCGGCCCGCCCCCGCGGGGTCACAGCCGGGGACTCATCGCGGCTTGGGCAGCAGCGGCTAGGGTCGCCCGAGGCCCCCGCCCGGGGCCCGGGGCCGCGCTGGTGGCGGAGGGAGGACTCGGCCGAGCCCAGCGGCCCGGGGCCGGGCGGCGGCGGGGGCGGCTCCCAGCGGCGGGTCCGGCGCGTTGCGGGCACTCGCTCCCCGCTCCCCGCGCCCGCGCCCCGCTCCGGGTCTCTCCCTCTCTGTGGTCACATCCGGAAGTTCCACCGCGGAGAGGCTTAACCCACTGTCCGCCGGTGGCTGGGGCGCGGGCGGGCGGGGCGGGCGTCGGAGCCCCCTCCCTCTCCCCTCCCCATCCCTCTCCCCTCCCCTCCCCTCCCCTCCCCCTCCCTCTCCCTCTCCCCTCCCCCTCCCCTCCCTCCTCGCCCCTCCCCTCGCCCCGCCCTCCCGCGGCCTTTGTATCCGAGGCACCGGGGTCCGCGTCGGGTCCCCGGGTCCCACCCTCCCACCCGCTCCCGGCGTCGCCCTTCCCCCTCGGCCGCCAGGGTCTCCGACGGGTTCTCTCCTCTGCTCCTCTGGCCACCCTTCCTTCCTCTCCCCGTGACTTCCCTGGTCTCTCTAGTCTCTCTGTCAACTGAGACCCGACCCGATCAGGAGGCGGGGAGGCACCAAACTCCGATATTTTAGTTTCTTTTCTGGCCCCCTCCCGCCCTCCCCTGGGAGACTGGGACGCGCTGGGCCTGCGTGCCTGGCCGGGTGCGTGTGTGCGCCTGTGTCCCAGCGGTGTCTGGGCGCATGTCTGCTTGTTGGCCCACTCCTGAGGGCAAGTGTGTGTGTGTGTGTGTGTGTGTGTGTGTGTGTGTGTCTCGCGCGCGCCCCTCCGTGCTTCTGCCCGGCTCTGACTCCTGCCTTTTGCAAGGTCCTTAGCCTCAAGTCCCCTCGGCTCTCAGCCAGGCTGTGAATCTCCAGAATGGAGGCCACCCAGCGCCTCTGGTGACAAGCATGTCGGCGAGAAGGGCCACGGCTCCTATCTGATTCCTAAGACAAGCTTCGAAATGGATGTTCTAGTGAGATAAAGAAAGATTTGTACCTGGTGTGTGCCAGGGTGGGGAGATGCCCTGGGGATGGGGTAGGGACAAAAGACAGACAAACTTATCCTGCTCACAGTCACTTGGATGGGAGGAGGAGGAGAGAGAAGGCGAGTGAATAAATGTGTCGTGGAAAGGGTGCCTGAAGCGCAGGAACTCCGGAACAAAGCAGAGTGTGCGTGGGGCGATTTACAGGGGGAGCCCTCAGCAGAGGTGGCCTGTGAGCAGAGACCCAAGGAGGCGAGGGAGGGAGCCTAGCGAGGAGGAGGAGCTCCCCAGGGGCGGCAGGTGCAGAAGCCTCTGAGTCAGGGCAGAAGAGAGCAGCCAGGGTTGGTCCCTAGTCTGTGCAGTGGCTGGCTTCTTTCTTTTCTTTTCTTTTCTTTCTTTCTTTCTTTCTTTCTTTCTTTCTTTCTTTCTTTCTTTCTTTCTTTCTTTCTTTCTTTCTTTCTTTCTTTCTTTCATCTTTATTTTCTGTTGTTGCTTGGTGGGGTTTTTGTTTGGTTTTTGGTTTGGGGTTTTATTGCGGGGTACTGGACATAGAAGCCAGGGGTGCTCTACCTCTGAGCCACATCCCCAGCCCTTTTATCTTCATTTTGCGACAGGGTCTTGCTGAGTTGGCCAGGCTGGCCTGGAACTTGTAGTTCTCAGGCGAGTGACACACATCTGCTGTGCAGGCTTTCTCTACATGAGGGGATCCTGAGACTCCTGCAGGGGAGTACAGTCAGGTGTCAGGAGACCTGAGAACCCCTGGAATGGCATGGAAATCCTGTTTTCCCTGGAGGTGCCCGTGGTCCACACTCCTGCCAGTAAGAGAGACCTGGCCCCCACGAGTCACAGACCATTCCTTCAGAGGAACCGCAGCGGAGCAAGGAGATGAGATCAGGAGAGGGTCCCCCCCCCCCAGATGGGCAGATGGAGACCCAGAGAAAGGGGCAAAGACCTGGAGGGGGGACAGGGACCCAGAGAAGGGGCAGAGTCCCATAGAGAGCAGGAACAGAGGCTCAGGAAAAGGAAACAGGAGGCAGAGCGAGGAGGCAGCTAAAGGCCGTGGCACCCCTGCCAGGCTCTGGAAGGTACCTTTTATGAGTGTCATAAACAGCCCACCCTGCGCCATTATCCTCCCCATCATGGAAACCACCCCCACCCCCACCCCTGGGCCCAGGGCAGGGGTGAGGCCAGGGGAGTGGAGCCAGTGGAGCCTAGCAACCTGGGGTTAGGCACAGCAGCACTTCCTGATGAAGAAGGTGAACAGGGCTGGCGGGGGGGGGGGGGGGGGTGTGGATGGTGACCATGACCTCTGGAGGAAGGACAAGGAGAGATGCTGGCCTGATCCTCAGGCCCCTGAAAGCCCCTTTCCCCCACCCGGGGCTCAGCTCTGTCTGTCTGTCTCCCCCGACCTGTCTCTGCCTCTCTGTGTCTTCCTCTCTCTCCTGTACTTTCTCTCCCCACTCTCTGTCACCTGACACCCTGGACACATCTGCTCCCATGGCCATCTCCAGGGGTCTCCCTGGGAACTGGAGTCTGGACCCACCTCAGCCGGGTCCTCCTTTCCCGAGCCTCTCTCTCCCCACCCTGCAACAGGCTGGGGGCAGATAGTGGAGAAAATGTTAAGCCAGTGTGGACCAAGACTCCAGGGGCCTCGGCTGAGTCCCAGGTACCCGCAAGGTAGCCCTTCCACCCCCCAGCTCTTGATCACATGACTGTCCTGCTGGTGACACTGGCCCTTTAAGGCAGGCAGAGAGGGGTCTGGAGAGCCCTTAATCACTGCTGTGCACACCGCCCCCCAGATTGGGGTTTTGGAGCAGAAAATTAATTTAAATCACTTTTTAATTAAAGATGCAAAGCTTCTGTCGGCCCCACCCCCTCTGCACCCTCTGCTGAGACTCAGGGTGAGGGATGGGGGGACTCGGGGTCCCAGCCTTGATTAGTGCCCTGGGTGGGGGGAGGGGAAGTCACCTTTGCCCTTGCTGAGCCGGTGCTGAAGGAAGTGTCCAGTGTCCTCCCTGGACAGTCCCCCGGGCGAGTGGGGGAGGGCGAGAGCGCAGACAGGCAGGTTCCTAGAGGGCTGGGTGGCTGGGGACCCTGCACCCCCCAGGAGGCCCCCCAAGGAGGAGCTGGGGCTCCTGGGTGAATCTTTCTAGTTCACGGACGGACGGAAGGACAGGACGACGGGAGGAGAGAGCGTCTTCAGAGAAACTGATGGGGGAGGCTTAGGGAGGGGGGTCGTCCCGCTTTCCCAGGTCCCCCCAGTCTCTCACACACAGTCACACACTCGTGCTCAGGGCACACTCACATGCACACGAGAGGGCGCAGGCAGGCCTTGTCCCCCTGAGCTCAGGCCTCCTCTCCTGACCCACCGTGTCCCTTGCCCTCCCTGGGCCCTTCTCTTCCGAGAGGCGCCAGCTCGCCCCTCCGCGCCGATGCCTGGAGGTGACCCCATCGGAGCTGCTCCTTTGCCCCTAGCTGGAGAGGTGACGCCCTGGGCCCTTCTCTTCCGAGAGGCGCCAGCTCGCCCCTCCGCGCCGATGCCTGGAGGTGACCCCATCGGAGCTGCTCCTTTGCCCCTAGCTGGAGAGGTGACGCCCTGGGCCCTTCTCTTCCGAGAGGCGCCAGCTCGCCCCTCCGCGCCGATGCCTGGAGGTGACCCCATCGGAGCTGCTCCTTTGCCCCTAGCTGGAGAGGTGACGCCCTGGGCCCGTGTCACAGCCCGAAGACCCCAGGCCACGCCCACCCGGGGGCCGCTGGGGGCCTGCCTAGCGTCCCCAACACAGGTCCCCCTCGGCCTCAGACCCCCGCCAGGATCTGCTCTCAGAGGCTGTGGGAACAGATGGAGAGAGCGCCACAGGCCCAGGCCCCTCCTGTCTCTCTGTCCTGCCAGCTCAGCCTCAGTGTCCCTTCTCTGTCATCAGCTGTATGTCTCTCTCCCTTTGGGGCCAAGTCTCTGTCCCAGTCCCTTCCTCCTGGACTCTGGGGCCTGTGTCTGCTTAGGGCGTGGGAAGAGGAGGCCCCTCTCTCCCTGCCAGGGTGTGTGACCTGCTGTCTGTCTGTCTGTCCTTCTCCTCCGGTCTCTTTGTCTAGACAGTTTCTCTTTCTCTCTCTCTCTCTCTCTCTCTCTCTCTGTCTCTGTCTCTCTCGGCCACCACTCCCCCCATGTCCTCCGGGCTTCAGCCTCCCCTTCCTCCCCACCGGGCTTTTGGTGAGGACATGGCCCTGCGGCCCCTCCTCCCCCTCTGGCTGCAGGAGAAGGAAACATTTATCTTGGAGGGTCCCCCGCCCCAGCACCCCTCGCCCGCCAGGCCATCCATCACTGCAGCAGTGACTCCGGTGGCTCATTTGTCACCGCCACCGCCCCTTCCCTCCCGCCCCACCAAGCAATCATACCATTAGCCATGGCTCAGCAGAGGCCACCAGGGGGACCCGGCCTGGCCCAGGGCGGGGTGGGCTGAGCTCAGGCCGCAGGCTCCCCCTCAAGGCGCCCCCCTCCCCCCATCTCTCTCTCCTCTCAGTCTTTCTGTCCTTATTGTCTGAGTCTACTTTTTTTCTCCCCAGTTGCTCTCTGGGCCTCCTCTCCTGGCCTCCTCCTCCTCCTCTTCCCTGAGCCCCTCCTTTCTCTGTGCCTCCCTGTCTCTGGTCGCGTGTGCCTCACCCGGTAGGTGAGCCCTCCTCTGCCGCCCATCCACCCTCTGTGGTCCCTGGTGTCCCTGTGCTGAGGCCACAGGCCCTGGCCAAGGATGAGAGCCTGGCTTGCACCTGGGCCTCCACCTCTGCAGTCTGTAGGCTTCCAGGCTTACACTCTCTTGTGTCCTTTTGTCCCTGTCCCTGC